ATGATGGTAAAGAATATGGTACCAGTGTTGTTGATTCTTTTTTTTTTTTTTAAATAATCATGCTTCAGAATAGTACCACAGCTAAGCAAGAAAGAGTCAGTCAGGTGTTCTCAGGGGACAAATAAGATGCCATACAAGATGAATGCAAGCATACCCAGCAAGGCACTACATGAAGTACTTCATATGAAAGCATCACCTCCCTCAGCTGTAAAACACTCACAAGCAGTAAACTGAAGAGAATTCTTAATCCTTCAGTGTTATCATTATTAGAGTATCATTCACCCACTTGTCTGCAGGCTGCCGCCTTCTCCCAGCAACTGCTTCATCTTACAACAATGCCTCATTTCTGGCTCCGAAGACCAACAATAGGCTCTCCCCTGAGCTTATGGCAGCATCTCCACCATCCCTTGGCAGGAGGCAGCATAACAATAATTTGACAGGCATCCTCCCAAGGAGACTCAACACATCAGTCATGCTGCTGACACACTCCACACCCAGAGGAGCTCATCCAGACTACGGAAGATCTCTAGGTACAGGCAGCTGCTCTTGATTGACCATCCAAAAGATAGCAGATTTTTTCCATTTCACTAACAGAACAAGAAAGTGCCTGTTTCCTTCGATGGTCCTTGCAATATTGCCATGCTGGTTTGAGCTACGTCTCCTTGAGTCAAGTAAAGCAGCAGGTAGAGAGGACTGAAGTCCTATTTCTAGTCCAAGAATAAATCTACTGTCTGGCTTCTAAAAGGTAACAGTCCTGCAGAACGAATTGCAAGTTACCTTTTTATGATGTGCAGAGTCTCTCTTCCCAACGAAATGCAAATAATTACTCTTCAGATTTTATTTAAAAAGGAAATTGAAAAACTGTAGTATTTTCAGAGGATGCACTGTTGTTGGGTAGCACCAAACCAACCAACATTTACTGTCCAGAATAACATGAATTATCTTGAACTGACTGCTCCAATTTAAACAAAATTAACTATGACCCTTGTGTCTTTAAATAGAATCTGTCATTCCAATATGACACTGAAAAAAGTTCCAGTCACTCCTTCCTTTCATATATAGTGCCATGAGACAAACATCCACCAGTTTATCACCAATAAATTGTTGTTTAAAGGACAAGATTAATAGCTTGAACAAAGGAAGGGATAAATTCTCACATAGGAGAAGAAGAGAGGAAGACGAGGGTTTGCAGATCTCCATGTAACACTTTTTTTTTTTTCCCTTGAAGTTGCTGAATGGAAGTCCTAAGCTCTGAACAGCAACTCATTTCTGAAGCTCCGCATGCTGGAATGCTCTGACTTCTGCAGGCCATGGGGAACTGGCTTTGATTGAGGTTTCTGCTGTTTTTAAAGCATGTGCAAGGTTCCTGGCAGTTTAACGGCTCTGAAAGATAATAAATCCCTTATGACACAGGAAGGCTGAACAATCATATGCTTCAGACTAGCTCAATCTGTATAGTTCCAAGAATAACTTCCAGTGCAGGTGATAGCAAGCATACGATAAGCAAAGTTCCAGGAGAAAGTCCGTTGAAAAAAACAGAATTATGGGAAACAGACTGAACTGCTGGTTTTATGGACATAGCTCTATTCCAGCACTCAGGCAGTAAAACTAAAATGAACTTCCTCAAAGTTAAAAATACCCAATAAAACTCAATAGGCAAAGTAATTATTTTGACTCGACAGAGGGAAGACAGGTCACTCATTCCCACAGAGAGCAGCTTACCTTGCTGACACCAAATAGTAAGACGCCTTTCAGCTTTTCCAAACCTACGTTTTCTATGATATGGATTTATAACACTGGCCAAGCCTATACCACTCCGAGTCAAATAAAAACCTAAAGACCAACAGAAATGTAAGCAGCACGTTCCAACAGCCTCTCCTGTGGTGTCACAGCTCCCCCAGGGGACCAGGCTGTTGTCCATTTTGCATACCCAGGACTGACCTTCTGCCCACATCCTACTTATTGCAGGTTCCTCAAGAACTCAGCTGTGAGATTTGCTGATCAATACCTGTCCTAGGTGCACAGATACAGTCAGGGTGGCACCCAAGGGATGAAGGTATCTTCTCTCTTTCTACCTTTCCCTTAGAAAAATGGAAGTGAACACCAGTCAGCAATGGAAGGTGTTGGCTCTAATATTAGAGAATAAATCTATGGTAGACATACACTTGAATGACTGAAATTTTATATTGCATGGGTTATAAAGGTAAATTTGTAACATCAGCTGCTTTTGCGCTTCCTCCTGGTAAGGACCCGCATACTCTCTGTGGAAGTTATTATCTACTATAGGGACAGTATAACACAGGTCTATCACAAAAGCAAAACTGAAAACTCCAGCAGTGACACAAAGTACGTATTTATTGTCAAGCAGCATCACATCAAAATAAGGAATGAAATACCATAGTAACTTATAGAATACAGGACAACGTCTTGTGAATTCACTGGATTTTAGTTTCTGACACCTTCAAAAAAGAAATTTTTGGTTTGGCTGACAGGAAACCACAAAGCACGACTATCCTGGAATTGGAGCAATTAGACATGTATGGGGACAATAATTATAGGCAAAGTAAATTAGTTGTAAACAGAACTGTTTGCTGTATTTCTAGCCACCTCATATTTATTTCTTCATATTTGAGGGCTTGGGCTTGCCTTTCTTTTTTTTCTTCTCTTAGAAGTCTCAAGATTTTTGTCTCAGTACTGTAGGGATCGGTTTTCTAAATGTTTATTCTCTGGGCTGGCAGTAGTGGTTTATTCCAGTGAGACGATAAACAATTAACTTAAAAGTTTAATGTTACAGACAAATGACTTATGTTTCTGGTAATTACTCAAGTTGGGAGAGCAAGTTTTTTCATGAAACAAATTATGAAATTGCTTGTTGCTTAGTATTAGTCAAGCATACTAATATTTCAGAGTTGTGAAAATGAGATTGTTTTCTCCACCCTTGCCAGTCAAACCATAAGATGCAAAGCTTGAAGTGAGCAGTGCAAGTACGGCTCTTAAGAAAATTTAAAAATCCTATGCCCCCCCCAAACCAGCTCAGTTACTTTAGAAAAGGTAATAGTGCAGGATTGACCCATTGGCTGTTGAATAGCATGGCCCCTAACCCATTCTCTTGAAATTCTCAAGTACAACACATCAAAGTTCAAGGGAAAACAACAATACAAGGAAAACAACAGAAATCAACATACCTTTTAAGAGCAGAACACAGAAGCACCCTTAAGGTGAGCTGTTCCCATTAAGCACCTTTCTTTCAAACAAATGTTGAAAGACAGCATTAGTCCTTGACTAAAATACACCTTCCTGTGGCTTCTAATGAAAATCAAAGACTGATTTATAATCACTGTGTCTTTCGCTACTGAGATGGGAAAGTTACATTCAACATGCCTTCAAATAAATCCTTCAGATTACATTCTTTCAAAATACATCAGGCTCAATCAAGTGAATCATCTTCAGGAGTGACCTCAGTTCGGTGATACAATCAGCAATTAAAATTCTAAAGTTGCTAATATGCCTCCAGTAACTGTTTTCTAAGTTACATCCAAGTACCTGCCCTCATAATGGAAATTGTGTCCTCTTATAATTTTGCTGAAACACAGCTCTCAGTTTCACAAAGCACAGGCCAGCTGTATGCCATTTGAGAATCTGCACTGGTGTAAATAATTTTGTTCTTTCCAGAGAGCCAAACCAAGATAAATGAAGAAAATAGCAGTTAAGTCACACCTGATGGGAATTTTGTCTTTTTCTAGTTACCTTACACCATAAATTTATCATGTAATTCTACATTCACTTTGTCAATAGAAAAGCTACTAGAACTATTAAATCCTGGTTAAGTGTAAGGTTATTTATCCCATGAAGACACACGCAGTTATGACAATAACATTTACTTCAGATAATATTGATTACATAGCCAAGGGATACACTGAAAAGGATAATATATATCTGTAACTTAGAATGCTTGAGATGATTTCCTCTGAGCTCTCACCCCTGATGCTCTTCTTCAGTGATCTGATGTTGTACCCTAGGTTTATTAGGATTGTGTTCAATCAACCAGTCAGCAAGCCAAATCTGTGGAACAAAAAAAACCCAAACATTTTCAGTTTTCTGTCGTTTTCCATTAAGTGTATGGGAGAATATTAAAAGAATTATTTGAAACCTCTGATACATTCTCTCCTACTGTGCTGCAAAACCAACACCTTTCAGAAAAAACGGACATACAAATAACCTGGATTTTCTAAATGTTCTTTTAAATCTTCACAGCTTATATTGCTTTTGAACAATTCACACTGACCTTCAGAAGACAACTTTTCCCAGCACTGTCTATCTCTGTGTATGTTTAAAATCATTTAAGCCATACTGCAAATAATCCAGAAAACTCTGTTTTGGAATGAGGCTGTACAATATGCATGAAACTGCTTAATGAGATATTACTCCTGACTACACTTGGAGATACTTTATCTAGTAATCATTCATTAAAAGTGCCAGTCTTCTGCACTGAAATCACCTTACAGTACCTAAAACTTAAAAACAAAACATGGTTAAGTTTTGAAATTAATCTTGTAAATTTTCCAGCAAATTGTACTTAAATAAGAATGTGGGAGGTATGCCTCGAGTCCTAACTTCTTCTGCCAATGCGTTGGCCTGGCCTTAGGCAAATTAACCCTTCACCTGGATTTCTCCACTTGTAAAGAGAAGTTTTTACACATCCTTAATTACTTCACAAGGCTGTTGACGATTAGTTTCTGGAATGCTAAGTACAACAAACTTCATACCATACTGTGAAGTGAAAGAAAAGATAGAATAGTAGACCAGAAAGGTAAGCAACACTCTCCTTTTATTACGAGGTACAAAAGGTTGGTTTGCAAAAAAAGAGACAACACGCAGAGCACTACAACAATCCTCACAGGTTAGTCAGCAATAGCAGAAGAGTAAGTACTCAAGACAGAAATGGAAAGCAAACAAACAACCCTCCCCCCAAAAAGCCCCAAACACAAAAATCCCTCGGAAAGACCACTTGGGAAAATGAGAAAATTTTAAATCCTTTGAGACTGATAAAATTTATCAGGCTCAAATAAAATTTACTTAGGGAACTGGCTGAGACAACCTTTCTGCTGCTAGTATTTCTGAGTGAACAGATAGTTTCTGATGCCATCTTCAGAAAGGAAAAAAAAAAAAAAAGAAAAAGAAAGAAAAAACCCCCAGAGCTAAATCACCCCAACTTTAGTTCTGCTTCTGGAAGGATATTAGAAAAAAAAAATTTCATTCCATCAGTCTCCCTGTAAGTCACCTAGCAGATAACAAATTGAAAAACAACAGCCAACATATATTTCTGAAAAGAAGTTTTATCAAATCAACGTTATTTTCCTTCTGTTACAAGGTCACGCGTTATGGACAGGGAAGAAGCAACAAATACTATGTTTTCATTTTGGTAAAGCTATTGACAGTGCTTCATATAGCTTTATGGGTTTCTTACAAGCAAGGAAGGAAAGTATGATCTTGAAGTTACTATTAGTTACCACACCGCTGGCTAGAAAATTGTACTTAGAATGTAGATATTAACTGGAAGCAAAACCAAATAAATGTGACTTATAAGGTAAGAGCTAAAAAGATAGTTTTTAATATAGTGAAAAGATGACTGAAGGGAAAAAAAGATGGTAATGCTCTTCAAATATGCTATATGTTGCTGGAAAAAAAAAAAAAAGAAAAGATAGTACATTGCCTCCAATGTCCTCTGGGGATAGTAAAAAGAAAAAAACAAGTAATGGGCTAGAAATTGGGAGTACAGGAGATTTAGGCTAACTTTTAGTGAAAGCTTTTCAACTAAGTGTAATTAAGCAGTGAAACAGATTGCCTAGGGAGACTGTAGATTCTCCATCACGTGGAGTGCTAAAGAACAGTCCAGACAAACATCCGTTAGGAATGGGTAGATACAATTGGTCTGGCCCTAGGCAAAGGGATGGATGAAAAGACTTCTTCATCTCTGTTTTCTAGATTTCTATGGTAACAGTACCAGACATACAGATGAAATGGACAGGTTATAAAGCTGGAACAATCACAGTACATTTAATCTGACCCCATGTATATCACATAGCTCATTAGAAACACCTCTGAATTATTTTGTAGGCCTTTTTTCTGAAGTGTATCTTTCAGAAAAATGCCATGTTGATTAAAAACCTGATAATGATGTAGAATCCACCACAACTGCCAGTAAATTGTCACACTGATTAATTATCTGCATTCTTAAAGTACTAGTGCGAACAACTTTGAGCTTTAAGAATACAAAAAACATTTACCATATTTTTCCAGATGAAAGCAAGCTCATTTTGCATAGGGATTAAAAAAGCCCACCACCACAAAAAACAACAGGAAATTAACACTAGTCTTTCCACAAAGAACTGTGATTTGAATGACATCCATAGTTAAAAGGAATATTATGTGAGAGAAGGGCAAGATGCATCAACTTGATAACTAGAGAGGAGTCACAAGAGAAGAATTTTCCGTAGATCAGTTTGACTATTCAAGATTGGTTTCACTCAAAATAATCATAATTCATTTTCCTGGTGAACTGTGGAACAACCCACGTAAATGCTAATCAATGCTGCACAGTCAAAAGAATAGCTTATCCTAAAGAAAGATTTATAATATTCATTTAAATAAACATAACAACGACAAAATACAGACAGCCTTACACTAAGAACTGTATTTTACTCAACTATGTAACTACTACCAGTATGATTAACATCTAATTTCATTTAGCATCTATTGTATGAGAGCTATTTCATCTCAAACTCACCTCAGAAACAGTAAAAACTGATATTTAACATTATATGATAGTACTCATTTACCTTTCCAGCCATCTGTAACAACTACGTGTGAGAAAGAGTTTTATAGAAGTCACCTAAAAAAACCTGTCATTTCATCAAGGCTGATTTCATTTAGTCCTGGCCCTTATTTCATGTGTTAACAAATCAATGCCTCAAAAGGCAAATGCTATCTGATTAGTTCATTAGCTGACAGCTAAAACAGCACAGCTGTTTAACAAAAGAGTAGTTTTCCTATATACAGGGACTTTACTAATATGAAGTAACTGTACCACAAAGCATACAACACAGATATACTGTACGTACCATTGGATCTGCTGGCTTCTCTTTACAGAGCGCAGTGAGCCCTGCTAGTAATGTTGGCTTTACATAAAGGTTCAAGTAATCCCTAGCTCTTTGTCCAGCTGGAATTGGCTCCAAAATCACTGTAAAGAATAACCACAGGTGTTGGAAAGCAGCTTGTGATTTTAAAAAGAGCACTATTTCAAATGTTGTTTATACATGAGCTGCTGTTTTCCTTAATAAGTTAATAATACATAATGGTTTTCATAGCTTCTCCCACAATAAACTGCAAAGAAACTACTTAAACCCTTTTACAACATCCCTGAGGTAATCTTACTAATTATAGCCAATTATGAAAGGGGAGGAAATCAGATCATCTGGGGAAAACCTGTATCCTTGAAGATGCACTGGGGGCAGGACATAAACAATGTACCCCATGTTTAGTACTTTCTTCTTGCAGTGCAAAGCTGATTTCTGAAGACCCTCAAAATCTCACCTTAAGTCCTGCTTTGTCATTAGGGTGAGGAGAAGAGACATGGTTTACAATGGGTAGGGTTTGTAGGGAAGTGCAATATCTTTTATTAAACAAACTGATACGATTGACAAAACCAGACATTTTTTTTTCTAGCAGTTTCCCTTGCATCTTTCTGTCAAAGAGCAAAGCCATCTTTCAACTGCTAGATCACAAACAGGAAATCCTCTCCCACTCTTTCCAGGTTCTACGACTCATTTCTCTGGCACTTAACTTTGGAATTGCACTCTTATGTGAGCATCCAGCTGCTGTTGAACAGGAATTACTCAACCTGAGCCCAAGAGAGTGAATCTTCTCATACCAACGGGAGTCCTCGGGGCTGACAGTGCCAGAAGGACATGTCGGAGTGTAATAGTTTTGTATTTCCTCTCATTTACTAGCTTTGTCTGCTCCAATTCCCAGACCACAGAGTTTAAAAAGTAGAAGCAATCCCTGTAACTATAATGGCTCTCCAGATACATTTTGGTATGCCTTTCATACCAGAAAATATCAGCTTACACGTAAAAAGATTCACATTCTCATAAAGCAAACAAACCCAACCCTTTCTAAATTCAATTGTATCTAGAGTCTGGACAGAGACAAGTAATAACAGGGAATGACACTATCCTCCCAAAGGTTGGCAATGTATTATTTGCATCATTTTACCTTCTGGAAACATGAATTGAATTTCTCTTTCTGCTGATAAAATGCTGACACTGCCATGAAGCGCATTCCTCAGATCATCAGTCCCATAGATTGCTCTTAAGCTAAGAACAAGAGAAAAAACTGCTTGGTAGGCAACTGCAAATCCCTTCCAAGTCTCTACAGTCTGAGACCATATAAAAGCAGTATAAATGGACTAATTAATAAGGTATTGGCTTGATTTTGTTTTTCAGAAATATATGTAGCTACCTAAAATTTATGTTCATGCACTCAGCATTCTCCATAAAATGGATGTTACATAGTAAAAAAACAAAGGTGAAGAGCCATGTTACACAAAATTGAAGAGATAACAGGCCACTCCAAATTTGTATTTCTATTGTAAAAGAAGAAACAAAAAACAAAACAAAACAACAACAACAACAACAAAAGCCAAACACAAACAAACAAAAAAAATAAGGTAATTTCTGGTCTCAAGAGAAAGACAAAATCCTACTGATTTTACCAAGGCCAATCAGGGCATTACCTGTGAGGGTGAGTTCTCCTAGCTTTTATGCTGTTTGATGGTCCAAGCAATTCCTTCCAGTAGGAGACTGCACAATGTCTGGCAAGAACCATAGCGACTAAAGGTCCAGAACTCATATAGGCTGTTAAATTGGGAAAAAACACTTTTCCATATTGGTCTGCGTAGAAGTTGCTACATTGCTCTGGGCTTAACTGGAGCTTCCGTTTCTATAAAGTGTAAAAAGAAAAAGAAATAACAAAAAAAAAAGAATTAAAAAAAAAGCTTGCTAAATTAAGATAGCTTGCTACCTCAGATAGGATACAGTCCTCTGCAGCAGTCCTATCTTCAAGCTCAGAAGAGGCATGGAGTAACTTCCCAGGCTAATCTGATTCTCCCAGCTCTGATCCTGAGATACAGAGTAACAAAGAGGAAGAGTTTTCTCAGTTAATTACTCAGACAAACAGGCCACTTGAGTAAGATGTGATTTTAGCCTGTGCACCTACAGCATTTCAGAACTGCTGGGTGACTTTCTGTACTGACAGGGCACCGTACGGAAAAAGAGAAGAGCATTACAAGGGAAGGATTTAATTATTCAGCTGCCGTAGCATAATGTTCTACTTTTAAACAATTTTCTCTTCAGCCCACACCGTTAATTATGCAATTGTTCTACTTTTCATTCTGTACTTATGCTTTATGATTCTCACAATAGCTGCCTAGCCTGCAGGTGACCAGTATCAGGACAAGTTTGGGAGGTTATCAGAAGGCACAGGGCAGTCAAGGAAAGAAATAAATTGTTGAAGTGCATTGTTTGGGCCCAAACTTATGCAACACACGAGTACCACAAATTCACATTTCTAATAACTTTGGTGCCAAGTTGGAGGCACCAGAAGATGTTATAAACATCTTGTCATTAAAAAAAAAAAATCAAAAAAAATCTAATTGATGTCATTTTATGATAGATTTTGTATAAATAAAACAACCAGAAAGGTAAAGGAGGAAATTTAAAAAAAAAACAAGCAAACAAACAAAAACTTGGAAAAGAGGTATTGACAAGAATAAGAAAAAAATTACTAAATTTCCGGGGGGGAAAAAACCCACAAAAAGCACTTAGAATCGTATGTAGAAGCGCAGTCATCGCTCGCTCGTGTTACAGAACCGGCGAGCAAGGCCAAGGGCGCTGCCGCGGGGCGGGAGGAGGCGGCGGAGCGGGACGGTGAGTGCCATGGCGGCG